CGTTTAAATTTTTTTAGAAAGATGTAATAATTGTGTAGCTTAAAAACTTCATTTTTTTAAATTAAAATAACTAAAAAGTATATTATTTTTAATATTTAAAAAATTTGAATTTAATTATGCCTTTAATTATATTTTTATTCATTTTAATTGCTTGAATTATTTTTAAACTTAAATTTACAAGATTGATACCAAAAATATCACTATCTGCACTTAAATAATTATATTTAATAATATGTTGCAATTTAATGAATTGTTAATATTTTGACAGTGAATTTTGTGGTTTTTATTAATCTTGGTGCAAAGTAAAAACGCACAATATTTTGTCATTGAATTCTTGTGGCTTGTCCCTCTTACTTTTCCCAGCACCCTCTCATTGCCCCCCTCTCTCTACATAACAAGGATAACCCTTTTTTTCCAGCAACAAGCCTCCAATATAAGGTTTCATCAGTTACCTGATGCTCGCAGTTTAAAAGGCATCCGGCCGTTTGATTAATGAGCGAGATGCGCCCTCGTTCGCATTTTGACACCCCTCGCCTTCTTCACACAGCAACAGTCCTTTCGCATGCAAACTAAGTACATACAAGTCTTCAGGTTACAGTGAAACAAAAAAAAAACTGGTCGCTGCGGCACTCATTTCTGCGTTTCAACCACAAGGCGGCAGATAAAATTTCCCGCATGCAAATATTTCCACGTGATGCGACGATAACAACATTTTCTGCGGGGCGTTTCATGCGACAACGAGAAAGATCAAGTACACACAGTAATGAGTTAATGGAATGCAAATCGTTCCGATCTGATTTATTATTAATCGTATGGAATGAAATCAAGAACGGCGCGCCTGTAATTGCGAATAATGGAGCTTTATCTATCGCCGCAATAAATTATTCAAGTTGATCTCGGGACAGCAGGTGGGTTTTTCTCGGATCTGCAAGCTTGATTGCTCCATCCCGTAACCCACCATTATATCATTGGAAATGTAAATCATTGATCGTTGAAGAAAAAGTCAAGGTTGTTCACATTTTCATGTAGTTGCAAGAAAACATTATATTAATAATTTTTTCTTACAATGTCGTTATTGAAAGTAGAATAATTTAATATTTGAAAATTGATAAATTGGTATAAAAAATAAAGATGAGATAATTTTATTTTATTAAAAATTAAGCCAACCAAACGCTCAATGAGGGGATGTTTCTTTTATTCTAGGAAGTTTTAGCCAAATTTTTTGCTAATTCAAGTGGTACCTGCCGTTATGTCCAAAATCCATTAAAAAATTAATTGTTTTAAATTGTTCAGATCTGATCCTTCAATTGATTTTAATTTATTCAATAGCAAATGAAAATGAATAATAATTTATATTAATAAGTGGCAACGACTTTTTATTTTTAATAACTATATTGATAATAAAAAATTAAAATATATTCAAAAATTAGCATCTTTGCATTTTGTTTACAATTATGTACGGAAGCAGATGGTTGCAACACTCTCGCACGAAAGTCTAGACCTCGTTATGAGAAAAATTCGCGACGCCGCGAGGAGCGCGCGTCTCTCTAAAATTAGCAATTTTATTAAGCATATTTCCCGAGTTTTATTGGCCTTTTGGAATTTTGGCCGGCTGCGGTGGCTAATTTTATCAGGAAGCGGTGCAGACGTGGGAGATAATTAGCACTCGGCTCCGAGTGAACCTTGAAATTTTACCAAAAAACGCCGGGGGCGAAAACATGTGCCAAAATTTGGAATCGCGCGCCACCGCATTTTTCCGCGACCGGTGCCAACTGTCATGTTGAAATGCGGCAGAGAGACGAGAAAAGCAAGCAAGAGTGGCCGAGAACAAGGAGCGAAACAAGCAATATAAAACGCGACTTGAAAGATCTACAATTTCAATGTTGTCAACCCAAAATGAGCCCCCAGAACAAGAACAATATAAAAGAAAATTAAAATATAAAAAAACACCGTCCCAAAACAAGGATAAACAAAAGTAATAGAAAAAAAAGTGTTAAAAATATCAATAACTATTTTAATTTATAAAAAAAAATTAAAAATAAATAAAATTCAACACAAAAATTATTGTTTGGGTGCAATTTTGATTCGAAAGGGGCACATCGAGGTACTCACAGTGACAAGACGAGGCAAGTGGACCGGTTTTGAGGTGCAGTCGGACGGATTGACCACCGCCGCCGCCACTCGCACTACTGACTGACTGACTGACTTATCGAGACTGAGGCGCGGGATTACATTATTACTACAGAGTAGTGTTGTGTACTCCCTCGGCAGCCAACAGAGGCCAAAAATACCCGCGCGGATAGAAATAGTCGGGCCCCGTGCGTTCTCCAAACCCCTACCCCGCGCGGCCCTTTTCCCTCCCTCGATCTCCGCCGCTCGAAATGCACCTCGCGCTCGGACGCCGGAAAAGAGCAAAGACAAAAAATAAACTTGGGAGAGACGCGCGCGGCTCCTCCTTTTACTCCACTATCTATCTACGACATGCATTCATTCACCGGGCTCGGTCAATGAAAATTGCTCGTACATACTTTGGTGTCTGAGCGTTTGTCACTGAGAGCAGAGGTTCAAAGAGGGAGACGCTCTCGCGACGAGATCAAAGTATTTCACGGGGGCTTTGTGGTCTCTCCAAATCGGAGGCAGTAAATCGGGTTCATTTACCCCGCGTGATTTATACGTGATGATAAATTTTATAACGTGATAAACGGCTTTGGTTAATTTCAAACTAAAAGTTAAATCACTCTTAAAGGTTCAAGGCAGTTCAAGAGGTTCAAAAATTACTTTTCAATTGTTCTCATCGGTTTCTCGGAGCAAAATTGCCAAGCTAGAAATAATAAGATATGATCATTTTCTGTGTTACTTTTTATAATTTATTCTCTTCATGAGGTTGGAAGAAAAATATTCCTTTTTTTACATAATTTTGCGAACAATAATCATCTCTGCTATAAAAATCTTCATTTTTGTCTTTATTTATTGATGGTGATTTTCCAAAAAATAATTGCGTTACTTGAACCAACTGATTCCATTTAAAAATGCTTGTTTTGATTAGCAAAAATCATTATTCATAATTTGGCGATATCTCATTATGAAAAAGTTGTTTAAGAAATAAATAATGTAACATCATCTTAGCCATCAATTTTTCTAGTTATCAATTTTAGAAATAAAATAATAAATTTCAATTAGGCAATTTAGATAATTTGAAATTAGTAGTATTTTTTTGTTAATTTCATGTTCCTTGTTCATGATGTTTTTGACTAGATCAATTTTGAACAAATTTTGCAAATGAAGAGCTAAAGAATGACAAATATAATAGAAATTCATTTAAATTTTTACAAATTTCCAAGTATTGGGAATATTGTTTTTTTTTTAGTTATTGAGGTTTATTTGAAATTTATTTTATTTCAAATAAGATTTTGGTTTGAATTCAATGAAAGCTAAAGATTTTGCCGCACCCCACTGCACTTGAGCAACATCCGAAGAATATGGATGTCACTTGACACCCTGTCACATTTGTTAAGCAATGCTGTCGTCGCAAATTAAAACCGCATAAAGTGGAGAGAAACTGGTCGTGCGGCGGCGTCGCACCGGGAGGGAATAAGTAATTTATTACCTCGTGATGACAATCCGTCCGTCTTGCACGCCAGGAAAAATAATAAAGGATGAATAATTATATATTATATTCCCTCTCCGAATTTCCGCTCCTCGCTCTTCAAAAGGTACAGAAAACTTCGTGGCAGTCCGTGTTTTGGTTTTATCTTATCATTCGGCCAGAGCAAACAAGCCCGGCTGTAATAATTAATTGATTGTGCTCGTCGAAAAATTGCCGTCTTATCTTCGCCTCTCTGATTAGGACCGCGCCAAACGCAGCAAGGTTATTTGAATATATATTCATTTCCGAAAAATAATAACAGAGATTTCTCCACTATAGAAAATCGTGACTGCGTTTTTTAATGAGATTAAAGACCTCAGATGTTTTTGAGCCCGAGTGCTTTTATTCCTCGACTCGAATTTCTTTGTGAAACCCTAGCCGACTTGCTCTCTCACGCGGAGACCATTGAAAAATAAATGTAAATAAAAAGGCGCGCCTTATAAGGGACGGAATTCGCTCTTTACCGTCTGTGTGGTCACCGCTGTTCATTCGCCAGCCTCGGATCCTCAGGTGCTCGCATCATGATTTTTATAATTTTTTTTCGGCAGATGTGATCCTTTTCCTGCGCCCGAATTGGAAACACTGCATAGGCTCTTTACTCTTTCTCCTTATCAGTCGATTCCCCCTTTTTTCAGCTGTTCCTCCAAAGATAAAATTCATAAATCTGCCCAAACGAAAAGTGATAAGATATATTTTTGCCACTGCACCTAATTCTTCCTTTGCTCCATCCTCAGAATAAAAAACAGGAGCAATTGAAGTAACAAGGAGATAAAATTTTACACTCTTACTAAAGTTAATCGCCTTTGCAAAGAAACAAGACACTTGAGATGAGAAAAACAAACGGATTGATTTTAAAACCGATAAAGTTTCATTGCGGATGACATAATCCAACATGTGGGCAGCAAAACAATTTGAACTGTGTGAATAAGTCTTTTGATCATTTGTCTCCATTGTTCAATAAAATAAGATGTTAAAACGCAGCAATATCAATTTACACTGTCAAGGCTAATTCCTCAACAGGCAATTGATATTTACGCCTTCGAGATCAATCGAGCCGCGCATAAATTTCCACTATAAACTTAAATGTATTTAAGAATTTGTTAATTGATTTTGTAATTCTTTGTGTAGAGCTGAGTAATGTTTGCTTTGTTAAAATTTACATACAAGTTTCAATCAATTGATATTTTCAAAGACAAATTTGAAGTGAATTCAATTCTGACATTGAGAAAATTAAGTTTTCTCGTTAAAAATAAAAATTTTCAAACAGATTTTATGCTCAGAGTCAGAAATTTACATGAAATTTTGGATTTTAATCATTTAATATGTTTTTTTAAAAATAAAGAGAAAAACTCACCCCTGATGTGAGGAGGTGTGGTGCACGAAGCTTCGAAGGCGCTCGGATTGACTTCGGCCGGACTGAGCAGCGTGTCCAGACTGTCCCACCGAGTGACTGGGTCTGGTGAGTAGTCTACAGGTACTGAGGGTGTGGGGGCAGGACTAGGTTGTCGGGGGCTTGGACTGGGCGAAAATGTTAGCTCGACGGCTCCGTCCAATGGAAATCTAAGATCTGGAATTTTTGAGAACTATTATTAGTCAAAAGTTAATAACACTTGCGGTGGATTTAATGAAAAGTTCAATTTCAATATTATTTAAAATGATTTAAATGATATAATAATCATTTAAATAATCATGAAATAATTAAATTGTGCAAACCTAAGCAAGCATGATCTAACTCTTGTCTGGAAAAGGTCAAATTGTAGTCGGCAATGGCGCAAGTGTGGAACTGGCAACTAAATATTAGCTCCCGTCCTTCCCTGAAAGAAATATATTTTTATTCTTTAGTTTTTTATTCTTTTATTTGTGATATTTATAATTACCCTGATACTGTGGGTGCTTGATGAGGTGGATATCTGTGGTAACAGCGCAGCATGACATCTCCCCTGAGCTGCAAACTTCTGTCCAGGGCCACAGTTAATCTTCTAGTGGATCCGGCCACTCTGTAGACTGGGGAGGTGTGCACTGGTACCAGGCCTTGGTAAACCTAAAAAATATTTTACATAAATATATTTAAGATTAATTTGACATGTTTATTTGACAATAAATTTATATTTTATTTTTCTTATTCTTTCAAATACTTATTTTTATGAAAGAAATAAATACAGAATATTTATAATAGGATATGTAAAATTATAATTGTGCGCTATTTGAAATTCTGATAGAAACTTCATGCTTAGTAAATTATAAACTGTAAAGGACAACAGAATATTTAATTGAAGTTAAAAATGAAGTTCTGTTGTGCGTAGAGGAATGTTTGCTTAACATAATTAATTAAGTAATTTTTATTAATTGAGATAAAATACTAAAATACAAGTTATCAAACCAGAAGTAATATAATTGCCAATTGAATCTGAATTGAAGTTAGCACTGGAAGGATATTTTTTTTTTCAAGATTGATTGATTTAAATACAATATATTAATTTATATATTATAATGAGTTGTTATAGTTGTTATTGTGGAACCTTTTGGCACTCAAAGTGCTCATTTTTTTATTTCCTCCGTAAAGATTAGCAACTTTATTGTTTCTGCATGATACAGAAAAAAAATCCATGCTCTACTAGTTTCGGTTACTGTATCATGGAGGAACAATCAAGTTGCTCATCTTAACCGAGGAAGCTTGATTTTATTTCATAAAAGAAAAATATAAATTAATAGTAATAGAATTTGTATTTATTATCTAATATCTTTACATACCTTCAAGAAAAGTCTGCAACCGCCGCCGTTATAATTTTCTGGCGTTGATGGCAGAACATCTGCAGGCTCAAAGGACGGGGTGCCAATGAGGGTGACGTGCGTCAGGTACATGGGTTGTGCGTTAATCTTGATAGAACCGGATAGCAGACCAGCAAAGTAGTTCAAATATCTGCAAAGTACAATAAAAATTAGTAAAATTTATTTGAAATTAAAAAAAAAAACACATTTACAATTCTGATGCTAAATTTCAAACTTTAAAACTCTAATTAATTCTTTTTATTTGAGATTTATTAAATAAAATTTAAAAAATTCCATAAATCAAATTGAACCTTTAAAATAACTTGATTTTTTTTCTTTTTCATCATTCTTAAATTTAAAATTCAACGATGTAATTAATTTTTCAGTACCTCTTATTGGAAGGTTGCAAGAAATCTCCGACCCTTTCCTCGAGGAATCGGGCCATTGCGTATCTGTCGAGGGCCTGGTCGTCGCTGCCACAAATCAGGGAGTAGTGCATGAACGCCGACACGGCCACCCCCAGACGCTCCCTGCCCGCGTTGCTCTGGGCGGACAAAACGGCGAGGCGCTGCGACCCGGCGCACAACCAGGCGTCCAGCTCCTTGCAAAGGGCGCACAGCCGCTCCAGAGGGGGCGCCAAACCCCGCGCCCAGCCCAACTCGCGCACGCACATGTCTTCAGTCTCTTCTAATGGGCCTCGGGCCACAGATCTTGGCGACAAGTTGAATATCTGCAAATTATATAAAAAAGTTAAAAGTTAGACATGTTTTTATTTTATTCATCAGGAAGATCCGCATAAGGAGAGTCTCACACTCTTAGTCATCAGGTTTAAATCCCAGGAAACTAATTCTTGGTTTAACCCAAAGGTGTAAATTTTCCTCAACAAATTTTGAGAGTAGAGTTTTGCCTTTAAAAATAAATTTTCTAGCTAGTATTTAATTTTATTAATTAAAAACGTGTTTTTCTCTTCTTTAAGGCTAATTATCAATTGTCTTAAAATAAAATAAATTTATTATTTATATTAATCTTAACTAATTTAATGCATCTCTCTTAATTAACATCAAATGCCAATGTCACCATATAATTTATTCTTTTGATAGCATTTCTATACATGTATACATGGCACATTGGCTGTAGTTTATATTTTAAAATGAAATGTTTAAGCGTACATTAATTTGTAATTGGAAAATAACTTCAGAAATAATGATTACCTAAAAATAACAAAATATTAAAATTTATTTTAAAAATATAAAATTTTTAGAATAAGTAAACAAATTTCATACTATTAAATTTTTCTTAAAAATATGTCTAATTTATTTTAAATAAAAAAGCTATTTTATAACCAAGGCAATGCTGATAATTAAAATCGCAATGTGTAGTATGAGGCAAAAATTAAACGTTCAATTTTTTGTTTTTATTTTACCATGTAGTGGTCGCCGTGCTTGTTCCTGAGCAGGGCAGCGGCCCTCATCATGCCGGCGCGGGCCTCGGTGGCTCCGTCGGCCGGCAGCCACAGGGCCAAAATGCGTTCCGTGATGTAGTTGAGCTGCATGCTGGCCTCCCTGCTCGAGGCGATTCTCTGCACTGACGACTCCTCGTCTGCTGGAATGGAATCTGATCTCCTCGGTGTGCTCACCATCTGCAAACGTGTGAAATTGTGAGGTCATCTTCCTGCGTGGACGCACTCGGGGCGAATAAGTTACGAGTGCACTCAAGTAATTAGCATCTCTTCCTTATATATTGCCAGCAGTTTTATTTTTTACACCAGAGGCCATTTCAAAGTGAGATATTTGAGCCGGGAATATTCCCAACTCGACTCGTTTGAGTTTGGAGTTAAAAAAAAACGACAAGCTCAATGGAAGGACTGTCAATTGCAAACCCAATGTGATTCTGATAAAATTTGAAAAAAAAAAAATAATAATAACAATCAATTTAATTAATGCGCCGTTTAATTGTTTGGACTTAAAATGGTTTTTTATGATTTTTGGCAAAAATTTTCATGGTTGTCAATTAATTTTAGGATAAAGAAATAGAATAATTTAATTAGTAATTTCTTATCATAGAAACAAACGATGAAAAAGTGCAAGCGTCTCATTTTTTAATTTAATTAAATTAATTTTTTATGCAAATTTTATCAGAATGACACAATTCACTAATATCCATTGTCAGAACAAATTTTGGCGAGAAAGAAATACATTTTTATTAGAATTGGCCAAACATTATTAAAGAGGGTATTGTTCGCAATTGACAGTTCATCCATTCAGCTTTTTTTTTTAAATAATTATTCTTATAATTTATTTTAACTTTATATATAATTTGCACTGATGACTATCTTAAAAAAAGACCTTTCTTTTTTTAGCATTAAACCGACTTTTGAACATTTTTTTAAACCAAATTTGAGACTATAACTAAAAAGTCACATTCGAAAAAGATTTTCACCAATCTGAATATTTAATTTTGTGAATAGCTTCCAAATTATTTATAAAATATAGGGAGTTGAGGCTAACACACAAACGCTCAATAGTTTTATTTAAGCTACCTTTGATGCAAAAAAAAAAAATCAATTTACATCAATCTATCTACAGCGACAATTTTTTTCAATCTACAATTAAATCCCTTTTTACCGAGTTTTCAAATCAAACAAAGTTTCATAATTTAAATTGATAAAAAAACTCACGGAAAGCTGCTTGGTTCTGTAGACACTTATTTTGGAAGTCACGCCATTCTCGACCACAGAGCCGCCGTGCTGAAACAAAAATGGAAACGCACGTCAGTCGGGAAGAACAAAACATTCAATTTTCATTAAACAAGAACAGCATTTTATTCCTCTCTCGGCACGAACACTTTATTGCATACCGAAGGAAATTATAATTTAGCATCGCATCTATTACGCGGCGCTGTCCGGTCGGACGTGTGATGCTCGCGGAGAGAGAAAGAGACATGCAAATAACAACCGGCGCGTTGCATGTGCGAGTACATACAATAATTTGCATAAAAATGCAAGTCAAATGCAAAGTTGTTCTGCACATCGATTGCATCACTGGAGGTATGTAAAGGCGCGTTTAAAGGTCGGCAAAGGTCATGGCGCAGGCTCGGGTCAATTTCATTATAGGTTCGCGTGTGTCGCCTTGTGATTATTTTCTCGCCGCGGACTTTTCAAACATGTTGAGTTGTGATAGGTCAGTTTGTTATTTTTCACGTTTTGCATTGAATGTATCTCATTTGAAATTCCCAACATCAAAATTGATTCTAACAAATATATAAATTTCGAAAAGAAATATAAATTAACAGCGTTTTGAAAAGTAAGATTTTTTAATTTAAATATACATAGTTTATTAAAAATTTTAAATTTATATTTAAAAAAAAGGAGTTTATGCAAAGTATTTATATATAGTTTGTTTAATAATAAACATTATAAAATTAAATTTATATTTTATTCTTTTTTTCAATTATAAATTTATTGAAAATTGTTGGTTAAATTGGATCATAAAAATGATAATTAAATTTTAAGTTGCTTATAAGTAAGTAAAATTCAATTCTATTTATAATCAAGTTTTCTTTTTCTGACCAATTACTTGATATAAATCAGATAAATTCATGAACTGCGTATCCACTATCAACAAGATTTTTAAGTTATCAATTAAAAATTTTAAATTAAACATCATCATTAAATAGCAGTAAAAATTAAAATTGAAATAAATTAATAAATAATATTAACACTTTTGTTTATAAAAACTTTGAAGATTTTAAATTAAATCAGATGAGCTGTCGGATCCTAAACTTAAGCAATTAAAAGTTGTGAAATATGTAAAGCGACATCTCATGTCAAAAAACGTCTTTCTGACAAGTGATAAATGATCCATTGAAAAAAGTAATAATTTGCGGAAAATGCAAAGCAATTTGTCAAAAGCGCCGGAGACGTTTACTGCTTTGCAGAAAATCGCAGACGGCTTGAAAAAAATCGGCTCTTTATGTGATATTTTGGTGATGGCGTGCCTGTTTTTGCTGCAAGTAGAGTGCCGAGTGGAGAACCGCAAAGGCCAGTCTGTTCAATACAAGGGCCGTCTCCATCCAGTGCTCGTCGCTTTCCCAAAGGGCGTGCAGCCCTCGGTGTCCCAAATCTAGTCTCATTTTCTCTCTCTCAATTCGAGCAGGTCGTCAGTCTTTAACTTTCACGTTGTCCGCGACCAGGCACTTTTCGATATAATTTAAATAATTGAGCCGCCGGCACCGACACTGACTGCGGAGAGCAATAATTGCTCACATTTTGCCGGCACGACTCGCGAACTGCGACTGCGGCAGAAAGCGAGGCCAGAAGCCGGGCAGTCTATTGCGGCACCACTTGCAGGAAGCAGAGGAGCGAATTTTGACCCGTTTCCATGGAGACCGATCTGACTGACTGAGGGCAAGCGGTGCAGTCAGTGGTGGGTGCATTCGCAGCCTCCACTCCTTGGCTCCCTCCCAACAACCAGGTGCATCTCAATTCAAAGTTAAAAAGAGAGGGAGGAAGTTCCAAATATATTGAATTATTTAACAACTTATTAATAACAAAAATCCCATTGAATTAAATTTTTTTTTAAAGAAATCTGATAAAAATTGTTTGAACACAGAACACAACCGACTTTTTGCTTATTATTATTATAACTATTATTTGAAAAACCGAAAATATTATATTTTTCCCATAATTATACAGTTCTTGCAGCCGAAACATGTAGAGCAAGAAATTTTTTGTAGTCTTTTTTTTATGTAAATGCAAGACCTAAAAATCTCATTGAGGAAAAAATGAACTGAAAATTGAAGAACATCATCAATACCTTATCGATGCAAGCTTATTTCTTCTTTCATTGACATGCCCTTTTGTTTTCTTTTTGCCTTTTAGACATTTATAATTTTTTTCCGAAAGGTGTGGATAATTTAAAATTTTTAAATGAAGCATTTCAATTTATATTGTTCCTTTCACAGCAGCACCAAAACTCAGCTATTTATAATGACCTGTATGATTTAATTATCACTATTTATTGTCGACTTCAATTGGGAATTGTATATATTAATAATGGATTTCAAGAAAAAAAAATTAAATTTGTATTGTTTTCAAGCTTATTTTTTTATGGAATAAGAATTAACTAAAATTTTATAAATTAAAAAAAAATATGTTAATAATAATAAATTTGCTTATTTTGTATAATAAAATATTTTAAAACAATGGGTAAAAGCATTAATAAACTTTTTAGAATTTAATTATCTTTTATTGATTAGTAAAAAAAAATTACACAATGTGATTTCTGGTCTACAAGGATTTTTGCACACGTTTTAGACGTTACAAAGTTTTTCTTTAAAATTACTGTTTTCCTTGAATATAAATTTATTCAATGTTGAAACCAAATTAAAACTTTATCAAATATTCAAAATATTGGGATCTATTTTTTTCTCCTTCATTCTAATTAATAGTCCATTTTGGGGGCAGCGCTTTCAAAGTTGTAGATCTAAAGAGCGGCGCAAGGTAGGTAGTATTAAAATTCTACAAGTCGTCCACAGTCCTCACCGCGAAATGCCCCTTGAGGCGAGTGCAAAGTTCGGCATAATATTCATCTCGGTCGGGCACCTCGCAGGGGCTCTTAACAAAAAGTTACGTCAGAAGTCAAGGCGGCTCTCTGGTCTAGCTCAAAGGAGATGAGAGAACGTTTCCACCTGAGTGCCTCCTCACAAACGACAGATCGTGTTTTGTGATTAGAGATCTGATGCATCACTGTCGAATATGAACGTAATTCAAATTGAAGAAGATGATTGGTCTCTCTATCCATATATATGAATTCAACAGCTCTCGAACGAAAAATCAAAACGCTCCGAGAGTTGCAAAGTATAAGTGAGTCAGTCCGAATTCGGCCTTCGGCCTTTTATTGCCGTGTTCCTGTTTATTTTGCAATAAATGCAGAGCGAGAATATCTGTACCGGCTTTTCTTTTTGATTTATTTCGGTTGGCTCGCATGCTCGACTGCCTGGCCATCAATAAAATTAATTGTGGCTCCAGGAGGAAGAAATCTGAAATAATATATAATTCGTCAGTGGAATTATCTGTTTGCAAAACGGTCTTTAAAATTAAAGACTGATAAAAAAAGGAACTTGTTAAATTTAATATTTTGCTGCAAAATTAATCCCGAAAATGGATCTATGTGAATCAAGTCATTCAGAATCAAAATATTTCAGGGAAAAAACAGTGGATTTGTTTTTAAATATCATTTGCTTCTTACACTTTTTAATTTATTCAGCATTTTCTTGGAGTTTTATACTTGGCTCTTTCTCAGGATTTAAGTAAATTCACAGCTCATAATTATTATTTTTATATCAGTAGGTAGTTTTTTAAAAACATCAGGGACTAAATAAAGTTTGACAAAATAATAAAATTAAAATAAAAGATTAAACTTTTAAATTAGGTAGCTTAAATTGATTTGATTAATGATTTTTTTCTGCTAAAAACGGCTTTAATTTCTGTGACATACAATCACTTAATAAAGAGTTTTCCACAAATCTCTATAAATTGAAAACCAAGCAAGGATGAGTAAAATTATGATGGGAAATTGCTTGTTAGTCGTAGATTATTTACTCTTTTTTCAGCCCGTAATTTTGGTTTTTGTGTGTTATTATCGTATTTTAATTGAAGTTATTAGATTTTCCAAACATAAATAAATTTCCTTCAGTCCAATAAATAAATCACGTCTCTAATTTTTTGCTATTCGCCCACGGTTGTCAACACACATGCTGCAATGGCGCTAAGTAAGTGCGTAGCGCGAAACTGGGCCAAAGGCGGGCCTGGTTGTTTTTCACCCGAGCGGTCTGCTGAATGGGAGGATATGCAGCACGCACGACATTCGGAGCCAGACAGTCCTCTACTTCACAGGCGCCAAGGTCTGCTCTTCCCCTTTCGCTCTTCACTCTTGCTCGCGTCAAGCTGTTTTCTTTCGGTCTGACGGCTCAATACGAGAATTCCTCGGCCGAATTCGGAAACGAATTTATTGAAATTCCTCTCCGCGGTAAAATACAAGTGAGACGATCCCCTTTAAGGGGTTGATGTATGCCGTGGCCTCATTTCGCGAGCAAACAAACACTAAAAGGGGTTGATACTGGCCGAGAGAGCGTCCGTCGCGCACTCTGCCCAATTTCCTCTCCGGGCTGCCGCCGAATTCGAGCGACAATCAGGCCTGATTGGAGGAGCACGGATGAAAAATCGCTGCAGAGCTCCTTAATGGCCGCGCACCATCAGAATGACAATAAAATGAGCTCTGCGTTATTTAGCGACGCGGCCGTAAACGCTCGCCTTTTATTATATCTCGGCTCGCTCCATGCATCAAATGTGACGTTCTAATTTGATAATTTGGCCAGCGCCGGAGGGGCGGACTCTTTTGATTTGTTGCAAATACGCGTGACGCCGCTCTTTTGTATACTAACAAGGACAAGTTTTGCAGAAGAAAGGAACAAAATATTATTTTAATTATTTAGAAAGAAAAATTATTAATCTGGTGGTCTTTATAATGTTCTTCACTGGTAAAGAAGGTTTAAAATTAAAATGATAAATGAGATTTAATCAAAATTTGTTCCATTAAAGTCTTTATAAGCAAAAAGTTCAATAAAAAAGTGTTTTTAAATAGTGATAATATTAAAATAATTAATATTTATCAAATAATTCAAAAAAATGTCTCAAAGAAAAAAAAGACAAAATTTAAGTTTGCATGGACTAAAAAGTTTTTTTGC